TTCTTTATTTTTATGTTGCCTATAAATATACATGGTCTATGTATATTTTAGGGGGTGATTTTTATGAGAAGGAAAAAGGAATAAATTTTCTCTCTCTAGAAAATTAGGGTTTATGTTCTCATCTAATGGAGGCTCCCACAAGCCTAGTTTTCCAAGGTCATTCAAGGAGGCTTATGAGTGATTCCTAAAGGCAAGACCATTACCAAGAAGATGGAAATCCATGGAAAAGATGTCTAGCAAAAGGGATCTACAATAAGTGAGAACATTCACTTTAGAGGAGAGATCTGAGGTTTACTCAAACCTTGATGTAAGTATTCAATCTTTTAGTTGAATAATACATCATATTTTATTTTATTTTTTGCATAAAACTTGTCTCTATGTGATGAATCAAGATCTATGAATTTAAATCTCTCGAAAAGTTTTTAAAACTAGCACGTTTCCCAACACCACTCCCATGGAATAATCAGGTTTTCTGTTTCGTGAAACCACTCCAAGGAAAAACCCAAGTCTATCTCCACTATTGCGATGGAGACGAATTGGTTGACAATTATACATTGAATTTGATATGGGATGAGAGTATGCAGGTCGTCGTCTTCTCTCCGTGATTATTATCAGAGGTCTTTTATTTATTCCCTTTTTCTTTTCTGTTTTTTTTTTTTTTCTTTTTTTCACTTTCTGATATGTTTTAATTGTTTGATGCCAAAAGGAGATAACCACGTTAGTTGGCAAATTTTTGTTGGTCCATGAGATTACACTATCCACGTCAAACTCTTAAGTCTATACTTATTGAAACTACTTAGTTTTAGTAAGGTTAAATATGTGTTTTGATTTTTCCGGTGACCGGCTGTTCTTCGCGGCAATAAATTCATAGTTCAAAGGGTTTGTTGCAATATACCAATAGCTCAAGGAATTTTTTTTGCATTTTATCCTATAATATACTACTCTATATATATATATATATATTAGTAGCCATGACAGATGCCTTACTGTGATATCATGTGGCTCAATTTGATGCCAAATAGAGGTAAATGTTTTCTGGGCAATTTATTTATTTTAACATTACGTTTGACAGCACCAAACGTTTTGAATTTAGAATTGAAAAAACAATTAGTACCAAACGTTTTAAATTTAGAATTGAAAAAAAAATTAGTTTAAAATGTAGAAAAAAAATTAGCACCAAACATTTTGAATTTAGAATTGAAAAAAAAAAAGTTAGCTAAAAATTTTAACTATATTTTTTTTAATTTTGAATTCAAATCACTAATTCAGTCCCACCAAACAGAAGCAGGTATAATTTAAATATATACAAGAATAAGAGAATGTTTCAGTATAATAGTATAAGTTATATATTCGCACCCCATATTGAAACAAAAATATGATACTCAGTTTTTTTCCCTCCTATTTTGTTTCTTTTCAGTAAAAAATTAAACTACCCTCCAATTTATTCATGTTAATTTATTATTATTATTATTATTCATCACTAAAATGGTTAGCTGTATATTCGTGCAAGTGTTACCCTACAAACTAAGCAGACCATAAGAGGGAGCAAACCACCAAACCCTTCGAAGTAAAAGATGAAAACAGAACATTGGGAATCATGTAATTAGCTAGTGAAGATCGATGCAGCAAAAGGACAATCAGCAGTCCATTATCTATCTCTGCAAACGATGACAATTTTAAATGAGGTAAAACCGAGTTACAACGTGGCCTGGACCAAAACAAAATTAAGGTGCAACATCATAGTATTCCATAAACAAATACTCTACCCGTCCCTTTATTAGTAGTTCATTTTTTTTTTTTACATGTCCCAAATTAGTTGTCCTCTTTGAAAAGTCAAAACATCTTTTCTTTATATTTTCATCATTGTCCTTTATCTTTTTAAAAAATTTCAAACTTTGTAACTATATATATTGAAATTAAAAAGGACAATTTGATAATTTTAAAGGAGACAATGCGTTATTGTATGTCCCTTTAAAAAGTTATAAAATCAAAAATATACAACTAATAAGGGACGAAGGTAGTAATATTATAAGATAAATAAAGCATCTATTTTATAAGATAAATAAAGCATCTATTTTGGCAATTCTGAAAGCATGCATGAATTCGGGGACACAAAAGAAGATATATTAAACTGCTAAAGCACATTAGGAATAAAATAGCTAGGATGCTAAGAGGAATGGTCAAATTAATAACATAAAAGTACAATTAGGTTAGGTTATGAGATAGAGCGTGTGACAATCGATTCCACAATTATTATTTTTAGAGACTAAGATATTGGATCAGAATCTACTTGGTAATGGTGGAAATAGCCTATTCTCAGCAGATTCACTTAATTTTACTGAATTAAGCCTCAAGATTCGCTTGGTTTGATTAGTACTTATACTAATGCCATACGAGAGATAGTAAATTGTGAAAAAGTAATAAGGTGTGACGGTAATATAACATTATCTGAGTGGTAAAGGGTCATATCTTAAGTGTCCTTACCTTATCTCCCAGGGTCAAATCCCCATCCTTTTAACTGCCACTCACTCCTAACTTTCTAACCATTGCCCGTTAAAAACAAAAAGACTAATTGATTTCTATGGCAATGTTGTCATAATGAGCTTCCTGGCATGGCACACCAAGCTGGTATATATAGCTAGTTGACTGCATGCTTGTGCGCCCCAAGCCACGACTTGGCATGGCACACTAAGCCCGTATGGCCCTTGGGTGTGCTAACTTGACATTGGACAAGTTAGCATTGTGACATTCAGTTGTTGCTTGACAAGCCGCATGGCGCGACATGGTGGCACAAATGGACTGACGGTGTGGGCATGGCGCCAAGCATACCTGAAGGCATGACAAAACTTGGTCTAAGAGCATTGGGCAAGGATTATGAAGCAAGCAAAGGGAACGATAGATTGGGCTTGGAATGGGCAAGGCCTTTATTCGGTTGGCTTACTAAGAAAGCGTTGTGTCATATATGGGCCAAGGCCGGATGACACTTGGCATAAAGAGACAAGTGGCATGCACAACTTTGGTAAGAGAGGGTTGTGGTTGCTGGCCACTTCCCACCATATGTACTACATATCAGGATGGAATGGTGGGGGTATGACAATTAACACATGCATTGACAGTTTTTTTTTTTATTTTTTTGATGATAACCTAAAACTTCCTGAGGCAGGGCTCGTCGGACCCACCCTCAGAGTATCAAACTGGGAATATTGCAGTCGGCCCTACAGCTACAGCAACATACATGGACAGTTGCAAGCAAATAATTAATACTTTCCATTTCTGACATGAGGAAGACATGGGCTGAAGTGTTGGGCAACCTCCAGGGCAACATGGCCAGAGCTAGCTTGTGCTAGCAGCCCTAGGTGTCATCCACCATGGGCAATTGTAAGCATTTTTGTGAGTGCTTATATTATATATATCCATTGGGTGGTCTGACACACATTGCCAGCTTGTGCAGACGACACCATATGGTTTCTTGTACTATTTTGTGAGGTTGGAGGCCTAAAGCCAATGTAAACGTGTGTCGTCCCTCGTGCCTATTACATTAACCTTTGTGTGTCATTAAGAGACTAAGACTTGGTGTACGTGACCAAGGGTCGTCACGGGGCCAAAAAATTGGTGGTGATTTTGACCCACTTGACAGCAACCATTATAGATCCCTTCCCACTCCATGTGTGTGTGTATATATATCTCCGCAATTAACAATACTATTAAATGAAAATTGAAAATAAAAAATATAGTATATATATATGCAGTAATATTATTATGTGGTCAAAGACCAAAATGAAAACTACTTTGGTTATATATTAAGATAACCACTAGTCAAGGGCTTGAACAAATGAGCTCCCTGCATCTTAATCAGCTCCAACTGACCTCTCAACATGTGCATGTACACAACCCAGTCTCCATTCCCAACTGGACTTGGCATAGGCATCACGTACCCGGCCTCCCCTCCCCACGGGAAATGGTATGACCTGAATACAGGCTTCCCCCATCCGAAATCCATCTGAGACACCGGGAACCTCGATCTGCCCGGACGAAACCACCACCGTCGGCGCCTCATCCTCGCTTCTAGCATATATCTTCACTAGAGCTGGTTCTGGACGGTGAGCCTCCACCCAGTCTATTAGTTCCAAAAAGTGTTGTTTGGTCTTAGCAACCTCCAAGCACTAATGAACTTCCAAAAACACTTCCAAGCACTCATGAACCACATGTGCCACCCAGCTCAGCGGCATCTCCTCCAGCTCAGCGATCCTCTTTTCCCCACAAGGGATGGACAACACGTTCCCAAAGTAAGAAGACATCATCTCCGCCTTTTCGCCAATGTCTCCTTCGCTTAACCGAGTCCTCCCGTCCACCGCAATGCCCATCCTGCACTTCTTGTTGCTACCTTGTTCAGTACTGGCTGCTACCACTTTCCACACAAACGCATTGAAAGCCTCAAGCTTAGACCTTTTGTCTCCGCTAGCACTAGCCAGTGATTGAAGGAGGCTGAGCTGATTGGCCTCGATGTAATAGATTCGGCTTATGAGCTGATCATCATCCGGTGTACCGAATTTTTTTTGTTCGGGTGGTAGTAGAGCCGAGATGGGTACATACATGTTTTCCAGAGAGGGATCATAGTGACCTGGACGTGGATGGTTGAGTAAATTACTAAAAGAAAAGTGAGTTTTTACGAAATAGTATTTATGAAATCTTTTATTTTATCTCGTAAAAGTTGCTTTTTACACAAAAAGAGTCATGTTTTCACGGGATGCTAATAAAATCCTTGAAAAAAATTGTTTTCACGGGAGTTTAAAGAGCCCGTTAATGTTTACATATATTTATGAAGATTCAACGAAAAAAACACTTGTTAATTAAATATATTTTTAAGGAAGTATTTTCTTCCGGTGAATATGAAATATAAAATAAAAATTCCGCACACAGTTTTCATCTCCCGCACGTGCAAAAATCCAATAGTCAGCCAAAATTTGCGAGTCCTACTTTCCGTGTCACCATTTACACAGACTCTGCTATTAATATCATTACCACGAGCACTACTCCACCACTGTTGCATAAACTGCCAACAACACCCGCCCAGTCTCTCACAATGCCCTAGTCTTCTTTCTTCCATTATTTCTGTTGAGGAGGCAGGATAATTTACCCCATCTCCGCTTGAATTTCTCTCTCAAATCTCTACCTCGCTTGAATTTCTCTCTCCTTTCTATCTCCATCTCCGCTTGAAGTTTTGGTTAGACAGGGAAAGGAGAGTTGGGCGATCTCAACCAATTTCTACCTTGACCAACATAGAGCTATTTGTTCAACCCTCTCTTTACTCTCTAAAACCGAGGATCCGGACTTACCTTCATTCTTCAGGTAATCTGCAATTCCTCTTTCTCAAACATTTTAAGGGTTTTCTTCAATCCCTATTTCTTAAACAATTTTTAGGGCTAACACATGCATATTTTTTTCTCTGGTTTATTGTCGATTTTATTTACTGGATTTGCTTTGGTTGTGACTGAATTTGGGTTTTTTTGTTTTCCATTTCATTATTGATTGGGTTTCACTTTTTTTTTTTTTTTGCATTAATGTAATATATATATATATATATATATATATCCTCCTTGCTTGAATCGGAAATTAATTGGAAGCCTAGATGTCAAGGTACTTGAATTTCCCAATCATTCTTCTGCCCGTAAACACCCCACCCTTAACTAGTTGTTAAGCCTGTTTCGCTAAAGGAAAACTGATGCATAAGGAAACCACTGCTAACACCATAAGGAAACCAACGCTAAAACTAAAAGACGAATTGTATTTATCATTAATTTTTAATTCATCAGTGGTGAAGAATTATTATTATTTGTAAACCATTGATATAATGGAATGAAGTTACGGTGAGGCTGCTCTCACTCCTCTCACCTCTATTAATATTAACATACAAAACATAAAACCATGAAAATTCTAAAGTCTTATTAATTATTTAAATTATCACTTTATTAAAAAAATTCCTTTTTCAATTCTAATTAAAAATTGTCAAAGCAACCAAAATTACTAAGATAAAATAAAACAGATAAAGAAGATTGATCAAGATTAGGGCTGCAAGTACTCCTCGGTCCTAATCCTGTTGCAAGAGTTTAACTGGTTTATATGGTTTTTCATTTCCTTGGTTTCCCAAGAAAAGGCCCACTAGGAGTCTAGGTGTGCTTCAATAGAGAGGTGCCTAAGTTTCTGAATTAGAGGAGTTTTGCTTGATTTTTGATCTAAGGTGTGCTGATTTCAATTTTTGTTGATGTCAATGCTTTAGCCTGTCAATTGTCAAAAAGTTCCCTAAAAATTAAACCTATAAGTAAAAGAAAAGGAAAAAATAAGTGCCAGTATACCTTGATATAGTTAAATGATAAATGAAGTGCTCAACTGTAAGAAGAGATGTGAAAATATGTGGATTGAGGGAGTTTAATTATAAAAGCAAACAACTTGGATTTTCATGAGTACCTCTGCCCAACTCATTTTGTATATAATTGAACATATCCAGCTAAAAGAGGCAGTCCATAGAACCCTTCCTGTAGCAATTGACAGTACCAACCAAAGCAAGGGCTTCCTTCAGTGCCGTAAAAAGATGCTCTGGATATTCCTCAATACAAGCATGTCCATGCCGGGATTCCATGGAATTTAAAACCCTTCCAACAATCTGGGAATAGAACAAATTGATACGGTTCTAGTGCAAATAGAAGATTACTGTATATAATTTCAGTAGTGAACAATTTATTAAGTCTTTTAAAGAAAAGATAAATGTACTCGCAATTAGAAGTGTATTTTTGTAAGTGCCCATAATCATTGAAAATAAGATTAACCTTCCGTGCATAGCCACCATAAGCAACCCCGCCAATTAAAACATCCTTTGGACTAATTGAATTCACAGGAAATATTTCATCTACTAATAAAAAATAAATAAATAAAAATAAAAGTTAGAAACCAAAAGAAATAAAGATACAACGAAGAATGCTAAAATGTGATAAGATAAAAGGGAGGAAAAAAAAAGTACAAAAAATGATGCAAGATATATACTAGCTATGGCTGTGTTCTGAAAAAGTCCCTCTTTCTTCAACCCGTTTATCATGTGAACATTAGTACCACCCGCCAACTGAAGAAAACCTACAATATGGAAAAAGTTGATGTGAACCAAGGGTAATATATGAACTTAAAACCATATTCATTATATAAACGTACATACCTCGAGGTCTGTCTTTAGCAACAGCCAAGCGAACGGCAAATGCAGTTGCTTCCCTTGTGGCACCTCGTCCAATGTCTCCACTCATGGGGCGACCATCCAACTTTGGTTTGCGGGTTATATCATATATACAACTTCTCAGAAAAGTAGTAGTTAAAATATAAAGTATTTATAGTGGATTTTTTAATTACTGGTGCGCACCTGCCATAAATTGAAGCAGTGTAGATTGGGTTCCATAATAGACTGTTCATGTATGATTTAGTTGAATCCCCAACATCATGGAAACTAAACTGTACTAGTCAAAGATTAGTTTTATGTCCCCAAAACAAATCAATTATCTGCTTATTTAAATGGCAGGGACGGTTTCCATGCTGCTACAAGTCTGAGATATCCAACTGAATCTCCCAAAGAATTCCATAGTTTTTCGAACAATGCAGTCTGCCTAAGAATAAACATGAATGAGTTCAGAAATCCAAGCAGACAATCATAAGTTCTATATGACCTTTTACTCTTTTCTGTCTTATTTTTTGGGCAAATTACGGAAGAAAGGATTTCAACATTTCGTTGTACAAAGCATTAGTAAGTTATTAGTTTTTCAGAGCAACCGAGATGATTTTATTACATTGCATGCACAAGATGATGAGTGGACTTTCAAAATTTGATGACATTGCACTTTATAACTATGGCATATGCCACTGGTTGCAGTTTGAATGAGAACTCCATTTTAGACAATAGATGCTCTGGCTCAAATGCTAACAAGAATAAAACGAAATGACTCCCTACGCACGACATGTGGAAATTATAAAATTGTTGAGAGCTAGCTCTAAGGCTATCTTCCATTTGTATGTATCTCCACGGCATCAACATCATCCCTTTTAAGAATTAGGTTCCTCTGTTTTTGTATTTACCTACTATGCAACAATGCATGTGATATATATATATATATCGATATGGATTGATGGTATGGTATTAAATTAGTTACAGTTCCAGGAAAATAAATAGAATGGGATAGTTTTCAATTCAATCATCGAATTAACCACCTTTTTTTGTTTTGAATGTTCTTTAATTTTTTTTTTATTTTTTGACAGGAATGTTTCTGTATTAGCTTCTACTATGTAGTGTTTTAGTTTCTTATGATTTTTTTTTTTTACAATTTGAATTTCTTGCTATAGTTGTTAAACTTTTAATCACAACAATATTGAATTTCTTTTTACAATTTGAAAAGTTGTTCAACTTTTAATCACAACAAAACAGTAAAAAAATGTGTGGTTTCTTGCCACTTTTACCCATAATTGTAGACCTCATGTGACATTTTGAAGAATAGTACATCAGCCCCAAACCTCCCCTTTATGTACCCACTCCCAGCTTGCTTGGTGGTGTTCAAAAATTTCTTTGTGCTTCTTGTTTGATTTGTTGTATAATATCACTTCTGCTTTCATGAAAAATAGGTAATGTTTATTTTCAGTTTATAGAGGAAGAACATGCTGCGAACGCCCTTAAGAATCTGACTGGAAGATTTTATGCTGGTAAGTTCTTTTAATTTCATATTTTTATCTATTCAGTTTGGGTGTTGCATCTATATGCATTCCTCCTTCTGTATTTACTTGTTACCAGAATTTAATTTCTCATAATCTTAACTTATTGTTCATTTACTGAACTAGATGTATGCAGTTTTCTATTATATTTTTTTCTTTTTCTCTTTCTTCCTTTGCAATTTTATTTTTTTATTTTTTTTTGAGATGCAAGTAGAGATTTTTTTTCATTATTAGATCAATTGAACCAGACAAATTACAAATACAAAAACTGATCTCATGAAATCCCCAAACCCAGAAAAGTAAAAGGAACCAAGTAGACCATTAATTGTATAGGGGATGATTAATTGTATCCTATTTCCATGATGTTCAAAATTGCCCAACAAGGAAGAAAGATGCAGCTCAAAATTTAGATGAGAAAACAAAATAATAATAACATATAGAATCGAAGGCTTCTAATTAATAGATTTTGACATTTATTTTGCTTTCCTAAATATCATGGTCTTATCATATAAAAGTATTGTTACATTTCCACTCGCACATGCATAGACGCGGAGAATAGAGATAATCGTTTGATTCTACTTTGTATCAGCATGAAATCTCTAATTGAATGATACAAGGAAGTGAAAGAGGAACATCATCAATTGCTGAATCCCACTTCAGAAGTCAAGGTAAGGTTGCTAACAAGTTTTCCTGCGTCAGTAGAGGCAAAGCAAGATTGTTTACTTCTTTGTTTTCCAATTAAGCAAAAATACTTTTTTTTTGAGGAAACAAATGTCAATTCTCTTCATTTCTTATCCTACATTTCAATTTTATTTAATTGTAATTAATTTTGATAGCTTCTTCAGTTAATATTTGTTTCTACGGGTTAATTTTTGCTCGAATGAAGTTTATGTGATGACATAAATTAATTGAATTGTGTTTATTGTTCATATATGTATATATATATATACACACCGTGGAATCATCATATATTTCATAATTTGCTTTTTGTGACAGGTTCCTATTGAATAATTAGGAAAATAGGGATGGATAAAGAATGGATGCATGTCTCTTACAGGTTATTATATGTAGTAGAATGTGTTTATAAAAGTTAAATCTTTTACACTAATTTTATGTTTAATTAAAAGTTAAAGCTTTAATTTTATAGAGTTGATCCAATGTATATAAAAGGAGCACGAAGGTTTGCCGATTGGGCTCAAGAGAATGCGGGGCATCCAGACAAGATTTTAACCAGCTGAGTAGGAGCAGAACAAAACCATTACTTTTGAAGTAAGATTAGAAGCATAGTTCTGGTTCTCAATCTTCATCTCTGGCAGGTATGTTCTGAATTCTACTAGCTAATGAAGTTCATTTATCAATTATCTCTATGTGAAGTCAGATAAAATTAATGGCCAAAGTGATCTTGATCAATGATATATTAAAGTCACATTGCTATAACTTGTAAGACCTATGTTGAAAAATAATATTATATGCGTAAAAATTAGATTTCCATCTTTTGCCGAGCATAGTGTCACGGGCCTAGAGATTTGGCGCAGCGGCACGGCCCGTGCGGCACCAAGGCGTTGCTTCAGCTCGCAAGCGCCCTGGTCAGCCATCACGACCTGCCCTCCCAAGGATACATGCTGACTGGTTTTGGCCTGCCATGGCCTCGTCAGGGGAACGGCTCCAGCTCCCGACCAGTTTGTGCAGGGATGGCCAACTCCCTTCTTCATAGTCAAGTCCACGACCAGCGACAAGCACCTTGAACTGAACCGAGTCGACCTGCCTGAACTCTGAAGAGGTACCATCCTGTACTCCTGCACGCCCCTTCCCTGGAACCATTCCCAGTCAAACTCTGCTCTTTGCCAACCAACATGCGTGTCTTCCATCCTCCAAGCGTCTTAGGAATCACTTCGTGACATTCTCCCCCACCCAAATCCTGCGACGTCCTCGTCGCAGTGCGGCGCTTCACTATTGCGTCCACTCCCTTCCAAAGTCTGCCTCCATGCAGTATGCTCGCCTTCCCACCATCGCTTCCTTGTGCAGCTCCCTGCACTGCACTCGCCCAATGATAGGCCTCGGACCAAGGGACGTCCACTCCTCAAGGACGTGACTCTTCTCCGTCATGCCGCCTCCGCGACATCCCGAGCAAGCAATGGCCTCCTGCCGACTTGATGCTCGCCCTTCACCATGGTTTGCATCACCCAAGGACTAAGCACGAACTTTGGTGCGCGCGGCCCTCCGGCCCTACAATGCGCAACTTCAACGGACGCCTCTTCCTGGGGAGATGGAGGCTCTCCCCCCCAACTGCATTGATTCCTCCTCATCGACGCAACTTCAATGCACCGTCTTTATTCTCTGACCTCTCCCAGACCGACAAGGGGGCACCCCACCGTGCTTTACCCCAAGTCCTGATTTGATACCATTTGTCACGGGCCTAGAGATTTAGCGCAGCGACACGGTGGTGCTTTACCCCACCGTGCTTTACCCCAAGTCCTGCTCTGATACCATTTGTCACGGGCCTAGAGATTTAGCGCAGCGACACGGCCCGTGCGGCACCAAGGCGTTGCTTCAGTTCGCGCAAGCGCCCTGGTCAGCCACCACGACCTGCCCTCCTAAGGATACGTGCTGACTGGTTTCGGCCTGCCATGGCCTCGTCAGGGGAACGGCTCCAGCTCCCGACCAGTTTGTGCAGGGATGGCCAACTCCCTTCTTCATAGTCAAGTCCACGACCAGCGACAAGCACCTCGAACTGAACCGAGTCGACCTGCCTGAACTCTGAAGAGGTACCATCCTGTGCTCCTGCACGCTCCTTCCCTGGAACCATTCCTAGTCAAACTCTGCTCTTTGCCAACCAACATGCGTATCTTCCATCCTCCAAGCGTCTTAGGAATCACTTCGTGACAATAGGCTCTTATCGTGGCCATTACTTTAATGTTGAAAGCATGGGTCTTTGTCGTGGCCATTACTTTATTGCATTGATATAACATGGGAGTATAGGAACATCGTATGTGGAGGTTGTGGCTGATTGTTATTTGTTGTTGATTGTTGTGAAGTTATTGTTAGTTGTTGTTGTGTATGCGAGGTAGAAAGTTTCTTAGCATTCCTCTCATTCCAATCTTGATCATCACATCACTCCAATGAAATACCACAATGTGAATCTTGGTTATCTAGACCCCAATATGATCCAACAACCTCCTCTAGGTCAAATCCCTCCCGGAGTTCAAGCTCCAATTCTTCCAAGCTCCAATTCCTCCAATGGTCAAATGACCATTACACTCCAAATGTTTACAATGCACCAACATGTATCCAATTGCCAAATTTTAGGGCCAATCATAATTTTAAATTGTCTATGCTTTTGAAAGTTGGTTGAGTTAGTTAGGTGTTCCTTCTATCCAAGGATTTAACAAGGGTAAACAGGAGTTCAATCAATGGAACCTATAGACGTTTTCGTTTCAATTCAATCGATTGACCATGTCAATGGATCAATCCAACCTAGCAGGCTGCACTTTCCAATTTGGTTTCTAACAATAAAGGCCTACTTTACTCAGCCCTAAAAAAATTTAAACAGCCATAGGATTTCAAAACTTATACATACAAGCAACCAAAGCATATTGAGAGCATATAGGATAGCATGTTTTATTCTGTTATTTTCATCATCATTGCATAAAGATGGTGAGTGATTTGCCAGAGTTTGATTACATACTATTTAAAATCTTCAAAGAGATCAGTACCAATATTCCCATACTGAGTATGGTGAATGCAATATAAAAATATAATTCTAAAACTCAGAATAAAACTTTCTCTATATGTATATGAGTTGTTTATATTTTGCCTTAACTTGGTACTTTTATATGCAAAGTTAAAATATATACAGAGTGGGGTTTGTTGTGTTTTAATTCAAAACGGAAACTGAATTTTTCCAGGGCTCGATCAATTGAAGAGCTGGTCGATCAATTGAGGCAACTCCAGTGGCCCTCGATTAATTGAAATCTGCTGTAATTTTAAATTTAGAAAATTTTAGAATCGGAAGTTTCTAGAAACGTACACTTTTATGCAAATTTAAAAATTTAGGGAATCATATCAGATCAAAACATGTAAAAATTAGAAATCCTAATAATGTATGCATGGAACCTAATTTGGTGAGTGCATAAATGTTCACTTTAGTCTTTTAACTTTTTATCATTCTGCTTTCAGAATTTGTATATGCATTGGATCATCCAATCCAATTGTGTGATGTGAGTTTCGAAAAGCCCAGAGGACTTGTGTTTCTTGTACATATGCTCCACTTAGATTAATAGAAAATTACTGCCCCCACATGGTATCAGGTTTCACTTTTGGCTGGTAACATGGGGCTTAGTGTCACGGGCTTAGAGTTTCAGTACCACTCTAGCTACTCCCGTGCGGCACCAAGACGTTGCTTCTACTCTTGCAAGTACTTGGTCAGCCTAACTCCCGTGCACACCTTAGCCAACACACTCCCCTCGTGCGCTTACTAGTGTTGTAGTGGCTTTCGCTCTCTCCTCACTTGGCTTGCACACTCACACACACTAAGACACTTAAATTGGCAAGGAAAGAACACTTCTATTACTTTAAAGAATGCTTTGTACAAGGCTAGCACTCAAACTCTCTGCAAGACTCTCAGGACTCACTTTAGGACTTGTTGGCTACAAAATGAAGTCTTACTCCTATTTATAGGCATCCCCATCCCTAATGGATGGCTATGATGCATTCTAACCAACGGTGGAGATCGATTCTCTAGAATCTTCTCCCACCTTCTTCACACTTTCATACTTATCCACAAGTATTTACAATATTCCAGAACTCTCATACTACTCCACACAATTCTGGAGAACTCTATAATGTATTACACATATCTAGAATTTTCCACACAACTCTAGACAACTCCGTAAGACTCTAGAAACTCCACTCGCCATGTAGTTGTCATGCAGCGTCCTCCTCAATGTCTGCGTGTCGCCTGCATGGCACAACCTCCATAGGCGGGGCGTGACATTAGGCTAGCTTAATATTTGGTATGAAGTGGATGATCTTAAACCTGCACCATTCTAAGCTTATTTGTTGCCGAATCTGAGTTAATCTCATCCTATATGCATATCGTATAATTTTTATTTCCGTGCACTCTATATGGTGAACATAGATAACCGATTGCCTATCCCACTTTTGAGTGGTTATTGAGCGATATGATAATCATTCACAATAAAAAAATAGGCAATCTGCAAACCCATCAGAACAAAGGTATTGAATTTGTTTAATAACATACAACTGATATAACAAAATAGTTCTAAAGTGCAACTTTGTAATACTCATTCGTTTTCATAATATTTTTCTTCACTGCTTGCATATTGGTATTATTTATGTTTCCCCCTTTATTTTAAACTTCTGATCTGTTTTATTTGGATGATTGGATCTAATAATTAAGTGCATTATTAAAGAAAATTACAAAGCGATAAAGATAATGCCATTGATATAATTTCAATAAAGGGAAGAACAAGAACAAAAAGGATAGCAAATCATTGATTAAATTTTTCTGTCTTTTTTTTTTTTGTTAAATTGTATGTTATACAGAAATTTCACTTGTTGGTATGATTCTAATAAGTTCTCCAATATGTCCTATTGAACTAATTATTAGCATGAGTTTAGCTTTATGGTTGTTTTACAACTATTAACTATATTTGTTCCATGTTGAAGTTGTTATTTTTCTTTGATGTCAAACTATCAACGTGCCTTAGAGATTTAAAACAGCATAACATTTATGTTTCTTACATTCTATGTCTAAACCTTTATTGGCAGTTGACATTCTTGGTAATCAAGTTGTAGAAGTAGAACTTGCACTTGTGGGGTGTTTGCCCTTTTTTAACCTTTTTGTTCTATCTAGAGTTGGAGGATTGCATGACGGAGTTGAGTCCTTGGTAAAGCATGGGCATGTGGATTGTATGTTTCTTTTTGGGGTTTTTTTATTGTTGGCTTCTCAAAGTGTGGGACTCCAGTTTTGATATTCACACCTTGGTAAATATTTTAGAGAGTATGAAATAAAAAAACTAGCATTTTATTGTGTATATGTACTTGGGATATATCGGGGACACAATAGCAGTCGTTTTGCACTTCTGCCCTACCTCTCTTTAGTTCTACTATAATCCTTCGTATGTATTCTCTACTAGCAGTTCATGACTTTATATACGTTATTATCATACTAAAATTAAGACTTGTATGATGCAGGTACGTGCTTGAATTTTGTACAATGGACAACGGGGTGGAGGAAGTGTAAAAAATCGGAAGTCAACTTGGGCCAAGAATTAATGAACAATGTGAAGATTGATATCAATTTTTAGGAAATATTGAATTTTCTTTTTAATTTTGACACATTGAACAATTAATGATGAATTGTAAATTAATGTCTTACACTTTTGATATGTTTAATGGTGAATTTAAATATAGATTGTTTTTGGTATTGGCATTAAGTGCAAATTTTTAGTATTCTATATTATTGTTTAGTTGAAACTGTGATCAGGTTATATATGTGAATGATTGGGTAGCAAGGTGCATTTATTATATATATATATATATATATATAATAAATGCACCTTGCTACCCAATCACATATATAGCTATCTACGGGGGCTTTAGACCTTGTAAATAAAATATATAGATGTATTGACGAGAGGCCAAATGTATCGTACATTAATTATTAACGAGAGGCCATGTACCACATTAATTAATTATTAACGAGATGTCGTCGATCTTGTAAATTAATTATTAACAAGAGGCTATTAGTTTTGTAAATTAATTAATAACGAGATTTCATCTATCTTGTAAATTAATTATTAACAAAAGGCCATTAATCACGTACATTAATTATTAACGAGAGGCTAGTAGTGTGACGATTATGGCCGTTCCTTGTACGCCAAAATTGATGTAATGAATGTGCGGTTCAAGAAAAGCTTTTTGGGTCAAGTTTAAATTTATAAAAACCACTATCAACACTACTACTAACGTAGCAAGAGTGAGTAGGGATCATCCCAAGGGATTGTGGGGATTGAGCAATGTCAGAGTTGATTGTGGAATCATAATTAGGGCTAGTAGGTCGAGTGATCAAACATTTGGTTGGTTGGTTGATTAGATTAGAGAACAACTAAATTAAACTAAGTAATTGAATGCAATGGAGAGTAAGTAAGAGAGAGAAGAGTCTTAGGGTTTAGAGATCACCACCAAGTAATGCATTTCTATATTATTGACAAGTGATTAATGAGGGCAATTAGGTGTTGCAATATTGGTGTGTGTGTATTTGGTTGATTCAATAAGCAAGGATGACTAGTTAAGCATGTATTGTCTAAACATCCTGTGAAAAGCACAATATATCTAAGTAATGAAGCATATATTGTCTAAACAATCTGTGAAAGGCACAATAAATCAAAACAAGTCATTAATTCTTTCATTAGGCTCACAATCCAAATACAACACAAGATTAGAGACATATGCTACTTGTATTCAAAAGTTTGGAATACCAAACAATAAGCATGGATTGTCCTCCCATTTAACACTTACACTACAACTACACTACATCTAAACTACTAGTATGAAAGTAAAATAGGGAAGAGGCACAATCCATTAAGGAATAAGTATGAACCATCAAGAGAATCACAATAGCATTCCTTTAAGTACTATGCTTTGACAATCTCTAAATCCATGGCATCAATACACATAGACATGCATCAACAATACAAAATCTAGAGACAAGAACATGAACATCAATTCTAGCACACATAGACATATGAATAGAATGAAATGATCAATTGGAAGCATTAAACCATACAAATCATTGATTAAACAAGATCTATATATATCAAAGTGTCAAAACATTAATTACAACACTAATCCCTCAATAATACACAAGATTAAGATATAGAAAGCATGCTTGGGGCTAACTCTAGCCCTAAGAGGATGTCTAGCCACTCATGGTGAGGATGCTCCAACCCTCATAGGCTAACTCCATGGAAGAGGTTTGCTCCTTGTTGATGAAGATCTCCAATGGTGTCTCTAGCCTCTTTCTCCAAGCTTCCTTAGAGATGGTATCTAAAAAATATTCAAGTCTTGGTCTCTATCTCCTATGTGTGTTTATATATCCCCCCACTAAAAAGCAATCCTTATCCTTATATAGGTAGGTTAAAATCACTCCCCAAATGAGTTAGGGTCGTGCACACAATATTCTCCAATGATTGGATAAAGGACAACTTTCAATGAGCTGGAATTTTAACTTTTTGCACTTGGAGGAAGTTCGATCGATCGAACCTTGGACTTGGATCGATCGAACTGGCTGAGATTAATCCAACTGGCTGAGCTTTTTGGGAAAAGACAAATCTGAGATATTTTGGGAGATATTTTTAGGAAAAGGACAAAAGTGGTTAGTGGGTGGACAGCTATGGATAAGATCAATCATTTGGATAAGGACAAAGGTGTTCAATCGATCGAAGAATGATGTTGGATCGATCGAACTTTTGGACTTAAGTGCTTCTGAGTCAAGGCTTAGATCTATCTTGAAGTGCTGAGATCGATCAATGTTCGATCGATCGAACCTTGGACTTGGATCGATCGAACTTGCTACTTTGCTTTTTTCTTCCTCCACTTTGCTCATTTCTTTGTTTAATCTCAGAATTGCTTCAATTAAACTCTTATTTGGCTGAGTTAGCTTATTTTCGGGATAAGTGCCTGAAAATGAAAATAATACAAAATTAATCTAAAACAGCAAAGTAAGATAGATAAAGGTACTAGAATGCCTAAGCCTAAGGGGTTTAAATACGCACTTTTCAGTGCTCATCACACCCCCAAACTTAAATATTGCTAGTCCCTAATAATGAACTAGAAAGTAAAGGAATGAAATGAACAACTATACAACTATAAACTAGAAAACAATAAATGGATAACGCCACTTTCGTATGGAACACGATTGCATTTAGCATATGTAACAAGCCTTTTAAACCCCTAAGTTACCCCTAATGGACGAGTGAAGTCTCGTGAGGGTTTCCAGAAATGGTACCCACAAACATTAAGCTCATTCTTTCAAAAGAGGCACTAATATTGCAAACAAGTATTGGGAGAAAACTACCTCAAGTATGTAATGTTTCAAACATTTCTAAGCGATTTCCCAAAATTTCAACACCAAGCAAGCAAGTATGGTCCTCCACACATCAAGAAAATGATCATGCAAATCAAAACAACTCTACAATTCTTTTGAGTGGACCAGCATCAATGTGTTGTTATCTTAGCCAACTAAAGAATTAATCACATCCTTACCCTCAAACTAGCACACAAATCTAGTATCGATCATCAAAACAAAAAGTGGACCTTTTATTAAAGTTTCATTGTTCTAGGTGCGCTTATTCTTTTCACTCAATTATTTATTTATTTATTTATTTGATCTCTTAAGCTTTCTAGTGATTCATGAGATTGAGCATTAGGTCAATGACTTCCAAACCAGACGGTTTTAGGGCATTAGGTGTTAAGACACCCCTACGGACTTACAAGCTCAAATCAACTAGACTACAAATCAAGACAACAACCATCTAATCATTTCCCACTTCTCACCTTTTGGGAGAAGTCCTCACTTTTTATTGCTTTTGCTTTTGCTCTTTTTTTATTTTATTTTATATATATATATTTTTAAACAAGTTCAATTATTAACCTAGAGTTTGGGCCCTCCACCTTTCAGCGCGAGAAGTTCAGTGCTTGATGAGGCTAGAATCCCGGTTACTTAGTGAAAAAGGGTTGTTATCCACCTTTATCAAGAATGAAAGCTTTCAATGCACTACTAGCCCAATTGGGATATAACCAATTCAATAATCAACAAAGCATATACCCTACAAATGAATGTTAGTGTGCGCCTGTGCTAGTGTAGAATCCTAGAATGAATCTCAAAACATTCACAAAATCAGGATGATGTGGACCACAAGTGCAAGCAAGATATTAATCCTTCGAAAAATTTACTCCTAAATGGCATTCATAAGGCATACAAGGAGTATTGGACTCTCAAGTCAAACAATTTTTAAATTTTAAGCAATATAGTCCTCAAAAGATCAAAATCATAGCTAGGTATGGACCAATCATAGAAATATCCCTCAAATACACGAGTCATGCTAAAAATTTGAATTTAAAACTATCACTGTAGAGAACCATTCCCCCCAAACTTAAATGGCACAATGTCCTCAATGTGCAAGAGAACAAAGGAAAGAGTATACCAGTGCAACTAAGCAAGAATGATCGGGACTGAAGTATCTGAAGTGGGTGGCATGCCCCCCCCAAACTTGGGATGAACTGTGGTCCTGAAAATTGGCACTTGGATAAACTTATCAGATAACAAAATGGGATAATCAGCGCACAGTGAACATGCAAGTGTAAATGGGATAAACAGATAACGAAATGAGAGAAGTATAAGGGTGGTCCTGAAAATTGGGTAGCATTCTCTCACTGAAGTCACTGTGATGCACCTGATGGAGTCAAACATACAGATATGAGAATACAATCATATGATATCCATAGCAAAAATAGATATATATAAAACGGATAAAGTACAGGTACAAAAATATCAAAGTCGACAGATGATAAGCGCTGAATATTGCATATTCAAGCGCCCTTAATTGCATTATTTAAGTTCATTGTTTGCTTATTTTATGTAGATTATCCCCATTTGTGTGTTTGTATATATTTTCAGGTCCTTTTGCCAAAAAGGAGTACAAATAAGACTTTGTGGATTTTAGACCATCAAAAGGCACAAGGCTGAATTTCTGGCAGCAGTGGAGTCAGGCCTTTGGTCGCCATTTCAACCTAGCAAACTCAAGAACTGGACTTCTCTCATAACATAAAAGATTTAGACCTATGAATTAGCTTTCTAAATCTTCAAACAGTTTGTCATTCGGAGATCGGAGCAGAGAGTTATGGCCTTTTTACCAGAGGTGCGCAGAACTGCCTGGCAGCAATGAAATTCTGCCTTGATCTTTATTTTCAACCAACCATCCTTGAGATTTGGATCTCCACCAAAACATGAAGTTTTTAGATCTCTAAATCAGCTTTCTAAATCTTCAAACGGTTCATCATTCGGAGTTTGGAACGCAAAGTTATGGCCATTTTACCAAAGTAGGTCCCGGCGGAGCAAACCAAGCATAGGGCATTCTGCCCAATTTTAGAGTGCTCGAGGCCCTATTTCGAGCACTCGAAATTAGGGCAGAATTCTACACGACTCAGCCCACTTGTGCTCAGATTTTACCTACTTTGGAAGCCCTCCTTTATGAGTTGGTTGGGGATGTTTCTTGGAGGAGAGAGAGGGCTTTTTGGGTGGATTTCTTATCTAGATAAAGAGGGGAGAGCCACACATTTACATTAAGCTTTATCTTGAGCAAGAGAAAGGAGAGAGAAGAGAGCAAGGAGAGGGTGTTCTTGAGTGCTACAGTAGGAGCTCGA